CTGGCTCTGTGGATGAGGGGAAAGCAGTGGATGTGTTAGTCCTTGACTTTAGCAAAGCTTTTGATACGGTCTCCCACAGTATTCTTGCCAGCAAGTTAAAGAAGTATGGGCTGGATGAATGGACTATAATGTGGATAGAAAGCTGGCTAGATCGTCGGGCTCAACAGGTAGTGATCAATGGCTCCATGTCTAGTTGGCAGCCAGTATCAAGCGGAGTACCCCAAGGGTCAGTCCTGGGGCCGGTTTTGTTCAACATCTTCATTAATGATCTGGAGGATAGCGTGGACTGCACCCTCAGCAAGTTTGCAGATGACACTAAACTGGGAGGAGTGGTAGATACGCTGGAGGGTAGTGATAGGATACAGAGGGACCTAGACAAATTAGAGGATTGGGCCAAAAGAAATCTGATGAGGTTCAACAAGGACAAATTCAGAGTCCTGCACTTAAGACAAAAGAATCCCATGTGCTGTTACAGACTAGGGGCCGAATGGGTAGACATCGGTTCTGCAGAAAAGGACCTAGGGGTTACAGTGGACGAGAAGCTGGATATGAGTCGACAGTGTGCCCTTGTTGTCAAGAAGGCTAATGGCATTTTGGGTTGTATAAGTAGGGGCACTGCCAGCAGATCAAGGGACGTGATCATTCCCTCTATTCGACATTGGTGAGGTCTCATCTGGAGTACTGTGTCCAGTTTTGGGCCCCACATAACAGGAAGGATGTGGAAAAAATGGAAAGAGTCCAGTGGAGGGCAACAAAAATGATTAGGGGGCTGGAGCACATGACTTATGAGGAGAGGCTGAGGGAACTGGGATTATTTAGTCTGCAGAAGAGAAGAATGGGGGGGGGGATTTGATAGCTGCTTTCAACTACCTGAAAGGAGGTTCCAAAGAGGATGGATCTAGAGTCTAGACTGTTCTCAGTGGCACCAGATGACAGAACAAGGAGTAACAAGGTCTCAAGTTGCAGTGGGGGAGGTTTAGGTTGGATATTAGGAAAAATCTTTTTCACTAGGAGGGTGGTGCTGCACTGGAATGGGTTACCTAGGTAGGTGGTGGAATCTCCTTCCTTAGAGGTTTTTAAGGCCAGACTTGACAAAGCCCTGTCTGGGATGATTTAGTTGGGGATTGGTCCTGCTTTGAGCAGGGGATTGGACTAGATGACCTCCTGAGGTTCCTTCCAACCCTGATATTCTATGATAATGTGTTGTTATGAAAAATGCACATTATTTTATTGAATATGCCATTATTTTATTGAAAGATTCAGTAGGAACAAGGACTGAATAAAAAGATGGGATGACTTCATTACAGAATTGAGCTCCTAGATACTATCTTCTAGGGAAGCTGAGGGTCTCAGGATCTCACAGGCTCAATATGCAAAAATATTTGAAAATTAACAGATGCTGCAAATACCTTATTTTACAAAGTGAAGGCTGTGCATGTTTATGTTTATATAAGTTTTCACGAGTGTGGGAGCAGTTCCTCACAACATTAAAAAGTATAACACATTCAAGAACTAAGTTTGTGAAATCAAGGGAAAGTTCTGAAATAATAATTGTAATCAGAATTTATTCAGAACACGGTGAAATATATTTTGCCAATTACAGGATTATTTTACAGCTTGAGGCATGAAAAACATAAATATAACTCAAAAACAAATCAGACTTACAATTCTTGACTGAATTATATTCCTTAGTGACTCACTTTGCCTCTGTTTGACCTTCCTCCTACATCTTTGCAATGAATTCCAACTTTTTTTCCCATAAGAACTGGCAATGCTCACAACTATTACTGCTACCACATAACAGGCCCATTAACATTCTCTAGTGATTAGAACACAGAGCAGGGAGTCAGAAGACCTCAGTTCTTATCCGGACTCTGCTCCTAGCTCTTGTGTGATCTTGTGGCAAATCACAACCTTTTTGTGCCTCAGTTTTCCTGTCTGCAAAATGGAGATAATACTCACCCACTTTTGCAAAGCACTTTGAGATTTTTGCACAAAAATGCTATCCAAATGATTATATTATTATGTTTTATTATGTTTGTAGTGACACTAAACGTATCATCGTGAAGCACCAGTGCTACATACAATGTAAAAGCATGATGTCTATATAACCTTTCCAAGAAGTGAATTTAAACAGTATTAGAAGATATTTTCCTATTCTTCTGTTCTGGTTGCTATATTTACTTCTTCTATTTATTCATCCTGCGGCCAAGTGCCAAACACTAGCAAACTGTACACACGATCCCATGCTTCCTTAGCAATAACTTGAGTCTTGATCTGGAACAAACACACTTTGTACACATGAGAGAAAATTCAATCTTTATATTAAACTCCTGTAAGAAATATTCTCCTTTACTCTTTAGTTCACTATGCAGACCTTCCATTTTCCTCATTCAGAGAAGTGTGATGTTGTTCACTCATGTTGCTTTCAGGGCTGATTGGCGTCTAGAAGATAGGTTTAAGGTAAAAGCCAATCCTTTATTCACATCAGTTAGCCCCTTTATGCTTGTTGTAAAAATACCACATGCTACAGTATGTACCTCCCTGACATGTCTCATTTGGATGACAGCAACTTATAAATTATAGCCTTCATAATTCAGGTACACATCTGCCAAATAACACTTAGAGAGACTGATTCATTTAGCTAGTCCTAAAACCAGCCACCATTTGTTATTTCTAGTGCCTAACCATACCTTAGAGGTATCATCCCCTTCATCTTCATGGACTGAACTGGATGGTGAGGGAGTTGCAGACTTGCTTCCAGGTGGAGATGGAGAGTTATGGGGAACATTGTTTCCACCCATATTCAAACCAAGCTGAGCACTGAGCTGTGACTGGTTAATGGTAGTCAGCTGACCATGCTGCATCATTCCTGGCTGCCTAATTTCTGCAGGTTGAACCCTTGGTCTCATGGCTGCCATCTGAGGGTGGGAACTATATTGAGCTCCTTCTGCGTTCCGTAAATCTTGCATCTACAAAAGGAAAATTGGAAAGCAATAATTTTCCATCATCATGCCATCATGTCCAAGTTCCCTTTGGCCTTAAAAGGAATCCCTGTTGATCTACAGGATATTTCATATTTAAGAGAACTGGGAGTTTTTAATTCAAACATATGAGGCGTAAGGAATACACAAAATAACTATACAGCCAACTTTTGCATAACACTGTTTATTTTGGGCTAAAACATGCAGCCTCTTTTCAGCCCGTGGACAGGCAAAGCTCCCATTGACGCTACTGAGAGTTTTTCCTGTATTGGGACTGAAGGATATGGCCTTTTGTTAACTGTCCTTTGCGTCTGTCAAAAATGAGTTTAAGAAATATAATAATACAAAACAGAGATGTCAGAATCTTGAATCAAAGTTCAAGAGGGTTCTTGTCTATCTTATGGAGATGAGTTTGAGCTGCCAAGTTTGGATCCAGATCCATACTTGCCCCAAATTCTAGGGAGTTGAACTTCTAGTACTAAGTCCAGTTTTACCTTGCCTAAAACTGCCCAAGACATGTTAATTTTTAAGATTCAGAAAACAGACCTAGGGCTCTATCAATAGGTGGATTAATTGACTAATGAACTGATTTGCTGCAACAGTCACATATGAACCTGAAGTGCTAAAGCTGCAAGGTTGACAAATTTATCCATTTTGCTATTTGGGTCACTGCTTTTTAGCATTAATGAGACTCATTTTTAATTCAAGCAATGAATTCAGTCTCTGCAAGGATTAGAATGAAAAGCATTGGAGGATGAAGCTCTTTACTTATCCAGAGGTCAAATGTACTGTACACGGATACTATAAAGGATATCCCATAATGCTTATCCAATGTACTCAAACTCATAGCTTGAGATAAGACAACTACAGAGAGTAGCTCAGTTTATACAGTTAGATGTTTTGAGGGGGGGTGATTTAAAGTTGAAGTGGCAATTCAAAGCTGAAAATGAAATGGATATAGTTATCTTAGTCGGTATCGTTAAAGCATGCCATATATATCTGGTGGAATTTGACAAAAATTACCAATGTAATAGTATCATTGCGTTAGGGAAAAAGTGATAACAGTCCAATCTACTAATATAACCGTAGTTATTTTACTGATAGCCTTTTGTAGCATGTCACCCAATGATTATTACTTTAGATTTATAACCCACCTCTCTCTTCCCCCCCACCCTTGCACTTGTGTGTGTATGTGCATTCTCTCTCTCTCTCCTGATAGCATACCAGTCTGGGAGATCCTTTTACAACAAGGAATTAGAATTAGAACTAGAACGTGGGGGGGGGGGAAACCAAGTATGATCGTTGCCATTTTTTCATTATTGGCAGAATAAGTGATTTTTTGAAAGGTTATTTATAGGCTTGGGAATTGATTTGGTGTATTTTTTGGAGAGTGAATCACGCCAATAAATATCCTGGAATCGAGAATGTTTGCTATTTTAAATTCATTTGTTGTCCTAAAATATATCTGAAATAGATTTTGACAATGCGACCTCTCTTAATACAGTCTTGGTACTGCATTATGAATTAATATCTCTGGAGTACAAAAGGTTTATTAATACCCATAATTCAAGTTCATTCAATAACTAATCCATTGAAAAAAACCAGTGCACAGCATCAACTGAGAACTTGAATCTTGAAAAAAACATTTATATTTTTAAAGATTGTTACTGACTTTCTGCTCCCTTTTTTCAAATACCAGCTTCCCTCCTAGTAAAACATATTAGCCTTGAAAGCTATCATTATCTCTGCCTCTAGCAGACAATCTATATCAAAACAGTTGTACACATAAAACAGTAACTACTTCTTGGCTGTATCTCTTCTGATCCAGCTGTTTCACTGAATAGCAGTTGGTGAATGGAGAACTGGAACATGGGTAGCCCTGAGGCCTTATTTGCTAATGTTACTCACCAGCTGCTGCTTTATGTGGTGTTAGCAGGCAAGGCTTGGAAGTTTGCCAGTTGCAGCAAGAACAAGGGAAAGTGAGGTATCTCTGAAGCCCTTCCATTTACCCCTGTCTGTCATCTTTTGACACTGAACATTGTTGAGTGCTATCCCCAGGGCCATTGAGAAACACTGCTGGAGTTAAACTGTGAATAGAGCTTACACTACCCCTTTGTACACTATTTTTTGGGTACCTCTCAGACAATCTAAGGAAACTACAGATCAGTGCTAAAAATAGACCCTTTTGGCTTCACATATTAAAGGAAGTTGTAAATGTAAAATAAGTAATTTTTTCATTAGAAATACTCTATTGTAAAATGCACTATTAAAAAACCTAAACAAGTATTTTTGTCAATATTTCAAATGACTGTGCAAGTATATGCCTCAGTGAAAGCTGGATACAAATTTAATAATAATATCATGTTGTTCATTTTAATCTAAAATGTATTTGCTAACTGACAACATATCACTGGATATCAAAACTGACTGGTTATTAAAACATCCCAATCTTGCCACACTGATCATCAGAAGCAAGCTCCCCAAAGACCAGAACAAACCAACTCAAAGTGGCACCAGACCCTGCCAAAACAACAGATGCAAAACCTGCAGACATATCTCCACTACTACAGGGATCAACATGCTCCACAATACCCTTCAAGATTCATGGGTCTTACATTTGTCTATCAGAACATGTAGTGTACCTCATTCAGAGCATCAAATACCCCAACATTTATATGGGTGAAACCAGGCAATCATTACACTCTGGAATGAACTCACACAGAAAAATGACGAAAGACAAAAAAAAACAGATCAACTCAATTTCTGACCTATCCGTTCTCACCCTGCACAACACCTTCAAAAGATGAGCCTAGGATCTTAAATTAATAACTTTCCTAGACATTAAAAAGTGTAGATTTGTAAAGACACTGGATTTATGGCTTATTACAACAACCTCTAACCCGCTAACCTTCCTTTGTCCTACGATTGCAGATGTGTTAATTGCCCACTACATCTTGAATGATCTCTTGCAACATGTGTTAACTCATTATGCTTAACAATCTGTTCCACCTTGTATTTGCTGTGACTATCTTTCCCTACAGTGACTACCTTTCCCAGACCTGAAGAAGAGTTCTTTGTACCTCAAAAGCTTCTCTCTTTCACAAACAAAGATATTACCTCACCCACCTTGTCTCTCTGTTTATTAAGACCTCTTTATACATTCTGCACATAGCAAGAACTATTTACAACCTATAGTGTTCTGGATTTCAGATGCAATCAACTTTTCTTGTGAATTTTTAAAACATATGGATATAGGTTTCCATTAACAACAGCTACAGTATTTCACTTACTTTTGCAGAAATATGAGTAAGAAACATGAAGAGTACCTTCTTAATTTGCATTTATATTCCAATTTAGACACTAAGGCCCTGTCTACACTAACGAGGTAAGTCGATCTAAGTTACGCTAGTTAAGTTACACAAATTATATAACTTATGTCGACATAGCTTAGATGGACTTACAGCGGTGTCTACATCACACTATGTCGATGGGCGACACTCTCCTGTCGAGATAGCTTCTGCCTCTCAAGGAGGAGGAGTTCTGAAGTCAACAGGAGAGCGCTCTGCCATCAACTTATTGTGTCTTCACCAGACCCACTAAATTGATACCGCTGCCGCACCGATTTAGCTGGTAGTGAGAACAAGCCCTAAGGAATAAACCCTCTAACCACTGCCCAGCCTGAGACAGTACAATGGGTGGAGGGTAGATGAATGGAGAAAAGGAATCCTTCTCCCAAGGCTGTGACCCTAATGCATCCCCTCTGCAGGAAAGTGGGGATACAAACAGGAGACTCTATGTAGCTGTGGATCTCTTGGCATTGCCTCTGTCCTGTCTCCCACCCACCCTTGCCACTTCCTGCATGGGCTTCCCAAATCCTCATGCACTCCACAGTGGATACAATGGGACCATCCATGGAGATGGGAGCAGCCTGTCCATAAATACATTCTGTATACTTGGATTTTGATAAAAGCAGGCACTTACCCACATTAAAACTAATTTTAAAATAATCATGGAACTACTCTATGGAAAGCAATTCACAACAAACGTGAACAGTAGAGAATGTCACTTTTCTTTATACCACTGATGGGAAAGCTTAAGCTTTCTAAGCAATGCAACATACTCAGGCCCACCTGAAATTCCTTACATGTACGCAGTTAAATGCAACCAAGTAGCAGCAGCAGCAAATATTTACATTCAGAGCTGACCAAAGGGCCACAATTCTATTCTGCAGCAACTTTCAAGATTTTGAAATTTGTTTTTGTACAGTATTGGAATGAAAACAAAACCCAAGGAAGGTATGTGTCTACATGTGCAGGTGTCAGACTGGATACTGGCCTAGGATGTGGGAGACTCAGGTTCAAACCCCTACTCTGCCTGATTCAGAGCAGTTTTTCATTCCAGAGCAGTGACTTGACCCAAATGTTCTGAACAGCTCGATCTATATTGCAGTCATGCCGAAAGGCCCCAATCAGTATTGTGGTCTCATTGTGCTGGGTGCTCAAAAACTAAGCCCGTGCTGGTGGAAATTACTCTTCCCTGCCCCAGCTGTCCCCTTGGGTCTCGCAAGAGAAGACAAGTGGTGTTGCCTGAAAAGGGCAGAGTAAAAGGCTGGATGGTTCTACCAGGGGAATGCAGCTGCAGACTGCAGTCTGGGCTATTTGAAGCCCCACCCACAGAAGTCACAGAGTGGATACACTGAATCAGTGCATTCCCAGGACTGCCCCAGTCATGTGCCCATTCTGGCCATTTTTGCCCTGGTTTGCTGGCCCTCTACAATACAAAAAGAAGTTGCAGTCACTTTCTGATGTCACAGTCCTGAAAAACTTTCCCACCACTTAGGTTTTACATTGGCTGGAAGAAAATGCCATAGACCCAGGAATGGGCCCACATCTTTAACCCTAAAAAAAGTCAAAATATCACTACTGGCTCAATATACTGTTACCTGGTAGAGTTCCACTGAGTTTTCCGTATTTATCTATGGAAGCTAT